AGTCAATGAAAGGCAAAAAAAAGTAACTACAGAGCAGTGAAGTCGACTAGTTGATACAACCCCTAGTGTGTGGACCTAAGGCTTTAACAGTTCAGTAATATAGGGAGGAGCTTGACCATGAAGAGCATTGAAAGTTACAGTCAGGATTCTAAAATGTACTCTAAAGGTATCGGGTTACCAGTGCAGAGACATTAGAATAGGAGTGATTTGAGCTCTTCTGTTTGCTCCAGTTAGGAGCCTCGCTGCAGAGTTCTGCACCAACTGGAGGGGGTCAAGGGCTGTTTCGTTAAAACATATGAAGAGTGTGTTACAGTAATATAGACAGAAGGAGGTTTGATCCCAACCTTTGCAGTTTGGAGATATACCTCAATTGATTAAAATGGTTTTGGACCAATGTGTTTGATCAATTCCCATTGAGAGATTAAAGCTATGTGTTGACTAAATCACATCAATCTTTTAAAGTCGACTTTACCATTTTACATTTGCCAAAATTAAATAATTTATTTAATATTTCTTTTTATTCCTTCTTATCCAAATTGGAGTCGTGGTGGTAACTCACTGAGGGGGAATTCAATCCCTCTAGTGAGTTTGGACTCTGGCCCAGGGTCTCCTCTCAGTGGGAGGTGACTGAAAAGCTAGGCGTCATCCTGATCAGATAGCAACACCTTCTCAGCTGTCTGTTTGATGCAGACGTGCAGCGGATTTACTCCCAAGCTCCCTCTACATGACAGATGCTGAGACCCACCATTGTATGGAGAAAACACATTTAAGCCACCTTTATCTAGAGCACACAATTGACTAATTAAAACAGAAATTAAAATATAAAACATGAATCCTTTAATGCATTTTACCAAACCTCTCTTCTAAATTTTCCACTTTTAAACTTTTTTCTAGAAATGAATCAATTCCTGTTCAAGATAATTTCCCTTAAAGATTATGTGGTCAAATGTGGGTACTGCAGTCCATTCTTTAAGCTAAAGTTCTCACTCCGGTTCTGAGTTTAATGGCTGTTGCCAGTTACAGATCAGCACCAGAAGGTTCTAGATGACAAGCAGAGATGAGTCATACACAGTAAGTTGATAAGTAAATACATTGTCATATGTGGTGTTAGCACTCGGGTGTTTTATGGCAGGGAGCACTCACAACACTTATTATGGTATTTTACCTGGTATTGCAGGAAGTGTTATTTGCCATCTTGCTATTATATATTAGTTCTGAGCAACTCATTAAAGGAAGTAAAATGACTCATTATTAATTTCACACTTACATTTCACTGTAATATCGAAGTGTTGGTAATTGAAAAAGTAGCTTGAGATATTTTTAGAGCTGACTATTTGCTTCTAAATCATCGTTGACTTTGTTAGCTCAATGTTAGCCTCTAGACTGCTTCATCCGATATTAGAGTAAAACACAAACCCGCTGTGGCTTCTTAGGATAACAAGAAACAACTTCTGGGTTGCTCCTGTTTACTGGCTTCAGTTCTTTAAACAACTTTGGAGCCTTTTCCCCTCTGGTACGAATTATACAATGCCTGTACTGCAGTGTAGCTCACTGCAGATTCGGTAACCCCACAAATTCACAGAGTGTTAACAGTAATGTCCTGTCTTTGTTCTTTTCAAAAGGAGAAAAACTGACAACTGAAATTTGTTTCAGCTTAATCGTATTTCTAACTAGCCTGACCAGCCAGCCCAATGCTTCCTTATGGGAAGTAATGGGTCTGGGAACTCTTCTATTCAAACAACCCCACCCCCTGAGAATTCTAACCGAGCCAATCAGCGATGAGCAGCGTACGTCAAACACCACGCCGCTCAGCTTCTTATAAAAAACAAAGATGGTGTCTAAGTTTGCTCGGCTCTTTCCTCTGTTCTAAATGACTTTTACACATCTTTAAAATCACAATAAGAACCGCTAAAAGCCTTTCTTCTAAAGAAAGATGTTTGAGCCGTCGCCAGACGCCATTTTTGACTACAGCTAAAAAACGTCAGCGTTGTGTGGTACAGTCTGCATTTCTGCCTTTTTTCTGATTGGTTATTTTTGAGCTGGCTAGTCCCACCCCTCATGTGTTTCCCTGCCTGTGAGTAACCAGACTAGTTCTCTGTGCAGAATTAAACAGAAGACAACTCTGGCAGGTCAGGCTAATGAGACATTAGACTGTTTAGAGATTATTTCACAGTAGAATTCTTACAAATTGCACCCTTAAGGACCCTCATTATCCAGTTATATTCATATGATTTAAAATGCTATAGTGGTGAAAGAGCCAAGGAGCAAGTTCAAACCCTAACCCCTAACTAGTTATGGATAAAGTAAAAGCCTTGAGCTAGGTCAGTCCTCTTACCTCCTGGTCATTCTTTATTTATTGAAACTTGACCGTGACACTGAGCCTTGAACATGAATTAACACTTGCTGACGTGCAAACCCCGTTCTGCATTAGGAAGCACTTGGCACATCCTAAGTAACGACAGGTCTTCAGCAGCCATCTTTAGGTTAATAACACCAGACACCCCTGACTTAAATATTCACGTGACTGAGGGGATGAAAGGTGTTATCACTTCAATCCTTTTTCATGTTAAAAACTGTGCCTATGTGGGAAAATACTATTAAAAAGAAAATACCTGGCTAGCGAGCCAATCAGAATAAGACATACTATCTACTTTTAATATTTGCTTTGGATTAATTGAATTGAGTGTGAATGCGGCAAAGCGGCTCTTTGGACCTCCTATAATGGCTCTTAATTACTTTGGTTGGAAATAATAAAGACAATATCTTTAATTAGAAATGCAATAGAAGGTGCAAGATTAAAGAACTTTCCTAAATTTTTTATGGAATATTTCAAATTCTATAACAGAATATTAGCAGCAATAGCGCCAGTAAGATTTTTAGATATGTGTTTTGTCTACAAATATCAACATCTGATGAAAAAAAACTGCCTACTTATACCTAATAATAGAAAGAAAATGGTGGCAATGCAAAGTAAATATTTAACACAGAGAAAAAGAAGATGTCTAACTTTAATCTAATAATTCTGACTTATTTCTCAGAAACGCTAGTGGCCCTGATCGTCTTCTGTCGAAGTTTCTCTGTAATTTTGTTCCTAAAACTGTTGCAGCTCTAAAGAAGCGTTTAATCTGGATGAATGAGGTGAAAAACAGCTCTTTGGACTTGCAGACCCCTGGTATGCCAAACACTTGGATTCACATTAGTCCGTACCTAATGTCTGACCGTTTAGGGTGTCTCAGCTCTGGTGGTAATTCATGTGTACAATCCGAGATGCTGACACAAACAACTCTGTCTGCACATGGAGCTTAAAATAAAGCTGTTAATAAAGATGTCTGAGGTGACAGATCACCACGCGAAGTTGGAGGAACAGAGACCAGAGACCATGCTGTTCTCACAGGTGGGGGTGGGGCTCGGTTTTGTGGAGAAGCTACCAATGAGGTGCACGTTATGGGAAAGTGAAGCATCACAGAGTGTAAAAGGATCCGCCCTAACATTACATCGGCATCACAGGTCTATCCATCTCATTGACAGCTCAGTGGTGTCAAATACCAGGGGGTGTGACACTGCTGACACCGAAGTGTGCTCTAGTCACATTTGCACACATTAATTACTAGAGCCTTAAAGACTAGAGCCCCGTCTCACATCTGGGGTGGGGGTGTTAGGCGGTGTCCACAGTTCGGGGGGTCGGGGCTAGCAGGAACGATGAGTGGGTGCCTTCTCACTAAACTCATCTTTGCTGCCTTCTGGCACTCGTGAGGTCAAGATCGTAAAACTCCAGAATGTACAGTTGCTGGGGTTGCAGGGGATCCACGGGGCCTCTGGCCTATTTGTATCCATTGGTGTGTCAACATTCTTGGTTGTTTGTGTACATGCTTTTATTTTATGTTTTGCAGATTGTCCCATAAATGCAGGGAGGGGAAAGGGTAGCCTTGTTTTTTGTACGTATTGCGTTTTACAAGTGTAAAGGTTTAAATAAGGATGACAAATTTGTTATCTGTAAATGTCTGTGCATGGGTGGTGGAAAAGATCTTCCAGCAGCTGGGACTTCACCAAGCTTCAGCTGACCATGTCTCCGCCACTTATTCTCGTCTTGTGAGGCTGTGATGAAATTTCCACATGTGGTAAATCAGACATGGTTGATGGTAGCTGTCCTCGGCACACACACTTAAAGAACACTCTACGAGACAAAAAAAAAAAAAAAACTCTGAAAAAATGTATTACAAAATATTTTAAGCTATTTTATGAGATTAAAGCGTGAATGATTTTATTTTTGCAGGGAATTCATTTTTCCACAACTCTAGAAACTTGGTAACAAGTCGTCTTTTGGAGACGACTTAAGAAAACATCAGAATGTGTCAATATTCCTTCATTAATGGGCAATCGCTGATGATGAGGGTGTCACTTCACTGCAACATGCTCTCCTTGAGCTGCAAATCGAACACAGCAAATAAACATAGTGCACCCCCCCGCTTTTTTCAGACATAAGTGGTAGTGAACATTGCTTTCTGTTTCGGTATTCATCTTTCTTTATGTTTTTGCCCTCACCCTCCCTATTTTAGTATTGTGTTGGCAGTGGATGGTGACGATGGGATGGGTTGGATCTATAATGGATTTGTCTTGGGGAGCACAATGGGAGGGGAGATCGTTGTTAACATTATAAGGTATCGATTGCCTGAACTCCATCTGCCAAGGCTCTGTCACACAGCAGCCATTACTCACAGCAGTCAGCCTCATCACCAACACACACACACACACACACACACACACACACACACACACACACACACACACACACACACACACACACACACACACACACACACACACAAACACACACACACACACACACACACACACACACACACACACACACACACACACAGCTGACTGTAACAGTCATGTTTATGCAGGCACACTGTTCATTTTTTATGACCCTTTCAACCTCCCTTGCATCTTGCCATTTTTGTAACTGAGTCTTAATTGTATTTAATCTTCTCTTACAGGCGGTCTGTGAGAGGACGTGAATTCTGCTCAGATCTGGGGATAGCTCTTTGTTTGTGCTGATTCATAATTGTGCACAAGAGATCCTGAGAACAGCAATAAATAACTTGTGTGAAAAAAATGGCTCCTGAGTTTGTCCAAATGCAAATGGAGACACTGACAGGGTCAAGAAAAAAAAAAAAAATAGGGAACTCAAAACTAATAACAGCCAATAACAAGGGGTGGAAATCAGGACAACAGAAGGACGATCTGACCAGGAGATTGAATTCCAGTGTAACATCCAGACAGGGTCAGTTTTGACCTATACATTGACCACATAGCGACCGGTCACCTACAGACATAATTCCACTATCTGAGTGGAGCTGCTACTCCATCTTCTAACTCCCAGAAGATTCTGCTGTGCTTGTTGACAGTCCATGAGGACAAGATTGTCAAACTTATCTCAGAATGCAGGATTCCACACTCAGAATGAAAAATGAACTTTTACATCTCATAAGTTAAATAATCATAAATAATCATATGGTTGAATGAACCAGATGTTAAATGAATAAATGATGATAATGTTTGAATAATCTGTGCCTAATTCAGTGAAGTTGAAATGAATATTATTGCTTACAATGAAACATTTATATGTTATGATCAGTAATGTATAATATAACAAGTTAATCATTGTATACACTCATACACAATGTTCCTATGATGAAAATTACAGTTAAGGTCACATATCACATAGGTTTAAAGATTCTTTATCCACAGAACAAGAACATCTTGTATCTGGAAGGTGTGGTTTCTGAGGGATGTTTGGTAACGCCGATAAACATTTGCAGAAATGATAAACTCTAGATCATTAGAACTAGAGTGACTGCCGAGTTACTCAGTTTCCAGCTGACACTCCGAAGTGGCCAATTCGGAACCAGCCTCTTTTGAAAAATCTCTTTGACACACAGCCAAACCTGTTTGCACGCAGTAAGCCGCACGACTCCTTAAGAGTCCATCCGTCTTAGGCGAAACAACCTTCATGCCTGTTGTGATTTGGGAGACGACTCTGGACTGACCTGGTCACATTGGGGTTAATCTACGAACTTCAATGCCTTTGGGTTACCAGACCCTCCTGACATCTCTGATCCAAAAGAGAGTCTCCATCAGGGTACGTAGACACAACAACATTGCGTCTGATGCTGTTCCATAAATCATCAACTCTCTAGTTTATAGCAGACAACAAATTCTTTTACACCCAGAACTCACGGTTTCTTCCAGATACAAAGGTTCTGATATACATCTACTTTACACCATCTTCACACATCACCATACACTCATCACACATCATTATTCATAGCTTGTTATGAATTGTAATTAGTCTAGAAAATAAAGTTTATTTTTACTTATATACTTGACTCTGTCTGAATTAATACGAAGTGTGTGTATGATCCCTGAGCAGGGGCGTCGGACTGGGGGGGGAAAGGGTACCGTTTACCCAGGGCCCACTGCAGGGAGGGGCCCTGAGACAGCTTTGAATAAAAATGTTTTATTGTTGTTGTTTTTTTCCCCCAACTTACTTAATGTCTTAATAAACTTCCCTTTACCTGGATAAAGAGGTTAAGAAACACAATTTCGCCTTAAAAATAATAACTGAATAATCTCTGAGGCATCTATCACCCCTTAAAAATGTGCAAAGTGGTTTAGTCCACACCAGCGGCCAGGGGCTGCACGGCCGCATGTACAGCTAATGAGACATCGCAGATGCCGACAGCCAGAGCTGGAGGCAGGAGAGTCAGTCATGTCTTTTCCCAAGAAAGGGAAATCTGGCTTCCAGAAAAGAAAAGAAAAGAAAAGAAAAGAAGGAGAAGGAGAAAAAGTTAATTGAACAGAAGCAAGTATTGACTAGGTTTTTCAAGAAGGAAGGTGAGCAGCAGCAGAACACAGTTTTAGCTGATATTAGCTAGCTCTCAGAAGCTGCATTCATGTTAGGTGTTCAGTGTTAAACGCCTTTAGTTTCACCATCAAGATCAAATATAAATTAATTAGTGTTATCAGTGAAAACACAAATTAATATATATGTGTGGATATATATGTGTGGATATTTCAGCTCCTTCCCAGTCATGGACCAAGACAAACTTGGTATCGATGGATTCGTGGTAATCTCAGGAATGTGAAGCTGCCACTCTTTTTCGTATAGCATGATGACACTGGTGTTAGAGGATTGTTATTGACTTGGTTAGATATTTTAAGCCTATTTTAAATTTCTTTATATTTGATCTTGAAAACGGACAATCTTATAATTTGGCTTATAATGCAGGGATTATAAAATTTAGAGTATATTACATTCACAGAGAGAACCTGGTTTATTTCATGTCATATTTATTTAATATATCAATACATATCAGCAAAGCTTAACATCATGAACCATGACAGACATGACTGAAGAGCAGATGAAGATATCATGCCAGGCACTGATGAGAAAATATTACAAGGATCTCACAGCTGAATTTGAGAATGAGATGCTACACCTGAGAACAATATATGGTGCCACATTTCCACACATTTGGTCTCCTCTTGAGCTGCTTAAGATACAGCTCTACAGGATGCAATTACAGAGCATTTTTGGAGAAGTTTGTATTGGACTGAGGATATTTTGCACACTACCCGTGACTGTTGCTGGGGGTGAACGGGCTTTTAGCAAACTGAAACTGGTGAAAAATTATTTGAGATCAACAATGTCCCAGGATAGACTGAACATCCTAACTCTTCTTTCTATTGAAAGCCAATTAGCCAAAGGATTGGACTTTAAAGAACTCATAAGTGATTTTGCTAACATAAAGACCCGTCAGTGGGCATTTACTGGAAAATAAATTCCAGGATTTTTGTTTGAACACATTGTTGGCAAATAAAAATAATTATATGTGAAGTCTGGGCATTTCACTTTTATTATGCTGGCATTTGTATTTGCTCAATATAGAGGTTAAACTAAGATCATATTTATTATCTTGTCTTATAGCATGACAAAAAATGTGTAAGAGAGATATTAAGTAATTGAGCATGGGGCCCTCCTAGAAGACTTGTACCTAGGGCCCAGAATTTGGTGCTACGCCCCTGTCCCTGAGTAAGCAAAGAATCCTAAATTGTTCTGGTTAAACATTCAGAGGTCAATCAGGTTGATATTTCATCTTTATATGGAATCGTCACATCTTATTGGCCATAATTAAAGCCTCTAATCTCACTACACCAGTGAAGGTAGAATGAGCAACCCAACAACACAACAATAGCTATCATCTGAAATGCTAAAAAATCTAAATTATTGGTTAACCCAAGCCAGATATTAGTAACTACTGCCCAAATTTAGCATTTTTACACAGGATTTAGTTGAAAAATGTTGTTGCTTAAGTGGCAAAATACTTTTTTTGCCAAAACGTTCCTTCGAGCTTATATGTTTTGGTGTTTTGATAACAGTTTGTTGATGACCACCACTAATAATGTTACATTTATTATGTTTTATTTTTAATTCATGTTCATCCTAAAATGTTGTGCACGTAAAACATTCAGCATATAATCGCCCGTTCAGGCAGACTTGTCAAATTAGTTGATCTAAATATTTTTTTTACATAACTGTTGCACATCCAACCCCACCAGGTCGGGTCATTACATTCACTTTGTCCGTCAGTAAACATCAGTTTCCTTCAACACCATAAACCTGTTCTGCTATGATGGAAAGGCATAGCAGAAGGATGATGAATCACTCACTGTTGAACATTCTATAGAGAGAGAAGAGGGGGGAAAAGATACGTGTGTTTTCGGAGCATTTTGTTTCTGGTCTGCAGATGTCTTTCTGCTGTTTAATCTCTGTGCAACAGAACTGACAGACTTGAAACATCCAAAGACGGAGAACTTCAGAGCAACTGTCCAAACTAATATCCTGGACAATGGATCATCCATGATGCTAAGAAGTTGTGATTGTCAACCGTTTCATGTTGACCTTGTTGAACAGCAATCTTTCATGACTGTGTGTGTGTGGATGTTTGAAGGATGTGTGCGTTTTATGTAAAGTGAAACAGAAACATACCTTTTACCTACAAAATCTGTCAATCCACTTCAGACCATTTTGTTCTGTTCCTTTTCATTAATATATTGAAAAAATTCACACACACACACACACACACACACACACACACACACACACAATTTTTTTATTTTTTTACTAAAAGCATCGGATCCATCATGATTTGTAATTCCAATTGGCATTGTCTTCTGTCATTGCCCATTTGATGACCTACTGAAGATTGATGATCTAAGCTCTCCGGGGTCAGGGAAGGTAATTTTTTACTCTACTACCGTGACGATAAAAACTTTTTGATCTTTAAACTGAAGTCTTTTTTCTTTCTTTCCCCAGTTGAATGATGATTTGGAAAATTGAGAGTGAGGTCTGATACTTAAATATCAATTTCCTTGATGGTCACGCATCATCAAACAGGTTATCCATCTCCTGTGTCCTATCTATCAAAGAGTTGGAGTTAGTTGAATTTCAACTTGGAATTCATCATCAAGGTACTTCAGCTACAAATTCTGTTTATGGAAAAGCTGATCTAGTTTATAGTTGTCTAAGGGTTTTATAACTCTTAGAAGGTCAAGAAAGCTTCATTTAAAATTAGGTTACCTCTGTTCACTTTGCCTACGTTGGTAGCAAAAAAATATTACTTGCAACACAAACATTTGTTGCCATTTCTTGATTAAACAAACCCCCAAATCTGTGTCTCGTGTCTGGAATTTATACCTTCTCAGGTTGTGGGTTGATATCAGGAAGTGGTCAGCTCAATGTAGATGAAGATGGCACATTTTCTTTTAGCATCACTATCCATCCATCCATCCATCCATCCATCAGCCAGCCAGCCAGCCAGCCAGCCATCCATCCATCCATCCATCCATCCATCCATCCATCCATCCATCCAAAACCTCCCTGAACCGTCTGCAGGTGGTTCAGAATGCCTGTGCTCGGCTTCTGACCACATCACCCCGCTTCTCCTCCAGCTTCATTGGCTGCCAGTACACTTCAGGGTTCATTTCAAGATCCTGGTTATGATCTATAGGGCCTTACATGGACAAGCACCATCTTACATTGGTGATCTTCTTAGGCCCTGTCCACAAGTAGCCGGGGATTGGCCAAAACGTAAATATTTTTCTACGTTTTGGCCTGTCATCCACACGAAAACGGAGTTTTTTCACACGAAAACGGATCTTTTAAAAAACTCCGGCCGAAGTGAAGATCTGCGTTTTCTCCGTTTTAGGTGTCTGCGTGTGGACAGACAAACCGGAGTTTTAAGATCCGCAACATCACTTTCCGCGACAACAAAATGCTGACATCACGTGTGCGACCTGTGTTTACACTAGCCGACAGCATGGATGCCCTCAGAGCTGTGCTCGCTTTATCAGTTGTCCAAGTGCTTTTTGCTTGTTTGTTTTTGCAAGCGGAATTACTGCTCCTTGCGGAAGACCACAGACGAAGGACGAGGTTAAGAACGGGGGAAGTACTGCCGCCTACAGGTCTGGCATGTCCTTAACAACGTATTTATCCGGGTACGTGTGAACAGAGTTTTTTTTTAAACGAGGTGGTGTGGATGCAAGTTTTTGGAGGGGCGGTGTTGAGGGTCTGCCCTCATGAGGAAATTACCATGCAGTAATTTCTCCAAAAGACTGTGCCAAAACCGCCCTGGAGCGTGAATAAAAGGCATATTAAAAATCAGCGCTAGCAACAACTTCATTTCCCATGAGCCTTTGCACCCGGAAGAAGAGTGATGATGTCACCACGTCAAACCCCGGACCCAGAGTCCAGCCCGCCGGACCATTTTGGGTTTTCAACTACCTCCATCTTGTTACCCCACCTATCAGATCATTATTTCACATTATCATTATTATTTCATAATTACTTGTTATTTATTTGATCATATAAGTTGGTTGATGTTGATTGGGTTGATTGGCTAAACACGTTAGAAGGAGCTGAAGTGAATATATTAGTTAATAAAGGTCATTGCCAATTAAGATTTGGTCTCAGGTGATTTGTTTGTGCTGATATAAATTAACTGCAGCTCGTTACGATTTCACGGAAAGTTTAGACAAGATTGATAAAAGGTGTGGATTCATTGTTCCCCTGTTAAAGGGGTGGTGCCCCGTGGATATCCTAATATCCTAATTATTTAATAAATCGTTAAATATTTCCATACTTACAAATTTATTGATGAATCTAAGCAAGTAAGTAAAAGCTTACAAATTATTCGTTGACATAATCACAACAGCGGATATTCGTTTAAAAAAAAAAAA